AGGTGTCGTTTCCACCCTCATGTGAAATCTGCCCCCCCTCCCATAACATGTGCAAGCAGCATTTTGTCTACTATGAAGGAAAGCACAGAAACGTCCTTGTACAGCTACATTTGGAGAGAAAAAAATGACGAGATGTGCATTTTTCATGCTTTCTATCACAGATATATATATAGCTGAGGTAAATGTATAATTAGCCAGGTTACAAGGGCTCTGCAGGTTCAGTCATAAATAGGTGGCATCAGTATCACAGCATAGAGCTGAAAAAACGCATCTGTGCGTCAGTTATGTCATATTTCAAGACATTGGAACACATTTATTAAGGGATTTCTAACTGCATTACTACTGTAACATCACGTGCATGCTCAGCACATATGAAAAAAGGTGCATCTCTATGAAATCAGAAAACAGTTAGTAGCACACAATCAAGGAGCATTGTTCTAAGGGTGAAAGCAATTTCACTGGTGCCATTTATAGAGTCATAATTTTTCTTTGATTCATTAAAAAATTTTAAAAAAGGAAATAGAATCCAACAAAGTAGCGTCGTCCTTGCACTTCTATTTTATAGCAGGAATGTCGAGGGTCCAGGAAGCACATGTAACATCTTCAAGAGTTGCTTTAATCGCAAATGAGTTCCTCCCCGGAGACTGTTGATTCCTCAGGCCCTTTTTGAAGCCACATCAGAGGAAATTGGTGGGGGTGCTCTACCGCTACAAGCAGGGACTCTGAAGACTTCACAACACTGACACACAGTTTATCTATATCAAAGGCATTTCCAATTTTGAGAACAGAAAAAAAAGAAGAAGAAAAAAAAAGAAAGTTGCTCGGAAGTTTTTTTTTTGCTTGAAGTAGAGGCTAAGCTACCTGACACGATTGCTGAGCAGTGATTATTATCAACACACACTCTTATCACTATTTTTACATCTATTATTCAGCTTGTTGCGATAAGATAAAGCGATTAATGTGGCTACACTACAAGAGTCATAGAGTCAATTGAGCTTTTCAGGGTTAGTGAACAGAAAACCTCCATCTCGCCTAAACTTCTTTACCAGCTGTTTTAACTCTCGGTCCCTCTACGCTATATCATATTCTAGCGTGTCATATCTCTTCTTGCTGTTCCCGGCATAGACACTTGTAAATATTCAATGGCGTTTCACAGAACAAGATCTCTCTCGCCACTGCTGTCACCATCTGCGAGAGAGGGAAAGAGTAGACGGATGGAAAAAGGGCAGATTTCACCACCCCCGCCGCCACCACCTCTTTCACTGACACACAAGCTTAGACACCAGACCGTCAAGGCACGCCGCAATGTGTCCCTTTGTTCGCGTGGGAGTAATCAAAGCTTCTGTCCATCAGTTCAATATGACAATAGTGATCAACTAATGCCCTGAGTGGTCTTTTGTATTGGTTTGTTTTGTGGAGGTAGCACACACCAACATCAAAAACTGAAAAACGCCTCTTTGCTTTTTCACACTCATCACCTCTGTTTCTTATTTTTATGCTGACCCTCTGACCGACCCTGTCAGCTGAACTTCTGCTTCCTGCCATAAATGCTTACTTTGCTCCCCTGCTGCAGACGAGCGTTGCAACACATTTCACAAAAAAATATGCAAAAGTATGACAGCACTGCCAAGCACTGTGATAGTGATGTTACTGAGAGCAGCAAGAGGAGACATATATTTTCACCTGTACTGGGATCAGGTGTTTATGTCAGTGCATATAGACATACATTACTTTAGAATGTCCTATCATTACAAAATGATTCAGTTCTTTTTGGTGTAACACTCCCATACTCATGGTCTGTATGGAGAAGTGACCTTGTACACCAGGACACTGGGGCATCACCAGGTAAATAGCTGGCACTGGATAAGAGGCACATCACATGGTCTAGCTGCCATTGCCCTGACTGTCTATCGCCAGCCTGCTGCCACTGTTATTACTCAACACCATCTGTACAACATGGTAACCGATCTCTCAGCTATTATCTAGCAGTGAACAATGGAAGCCCTTACAAATGGGGGTCTTGGCATTATGGAGCAGCTGGACAGATGTCGCTCTGTGTTTCTGCTGAGCCTGTTGGTATGCAGTGTCCTCCACAGCCTGCAGTCTGTCACTTTAACGGCTAAACACGGGAAGGCGAGCGCTAAGAGAACTCTGGGAAATGCATGTTATACATATACAGGGAGTGCAGAATTATTAGGCAAGTTGTATTTTTGAGGAATAATTTGATTATTGAACCACAACCATGTTCTCAATGAACCCAAAAAACTCATTAATATCAAAGCTGAATGTTTGTGGAAGTAGTTCTTAGTTTGTTTTTAGTTTTAGCTATTTTAGGGGGATATCTGTGTGTGCAGGTGACTATTACTGTGCA